CAATAGCACATGTTGATGGTGTCATCAAGCTGCGCCTGTTATGGTCAAAGCATCACAGCGGTTGCAAGCAATATCATCTGCAAATTATGCCAGGCGACAGTAATAGCGAAGAGATGAAGCACGTTTTCGAATATGAGTAAAGCCAAAAACTGCGCTTCCTCCACAACCGTACTTTTGATTCATTAATGTTGAATTCTCTCGCAGCTGCTCTATTCCTATGTTGCTGCAGTATATTAATGACTAACCTCGTATTGTGGATGGATTTTCTCAGTTGTTCTCCTGACTGAAGTTTGGTCTTTTTACAGCATCCTGCCATGCGATTGCATTTGTCCCTAACCATTGGGAACCCCCACTTTTATCGAGTGGGAAAAAGTTAGCTTCACTGTGTTTATGTTATGCTAACATAGCTGTATCGCTAGCGATCACGTAGCACATCATTATATACCAGCTAGTCCAACTTCAGTAACCCTAAAAAAGTCACTGCTGTTTAGTTTTCTGTCTTCATTTATGTCGAGATTTTTTCAAAAATCTCTCAGTCAGAACATGCTATATCATGTTTAAGTGGAAACTAGCGAGCTAACTTCCTGCTAACTTCTAACTCCGTTAAATTTAATAAATTCTATTTTCATGGATGCCTGGATGTTAAACTTAATTGTTACACCTGGTAAAGCATCAACGCTGATCATTTTATCAAAGATGAAAGAATTTAGACAGTTTTTAACTCTCAGTGATGCCGCAGTGTTCTTTTGACTTTGGGACCTGAAGTGGAAAGTTTTGGACCCAGATTACTCCGCGAGGCTCCTGACTATGGTAGCCATAATGCTCAGACAATCCATCAAGTGGTGCGGCTTCGTAGCTTACCAAAGTGGTACTAAAACATTTTTGACAGATTTTTAAGTGACATGTACCACATAAAATTGGTTCGAGGTCAGTAAGCACAACCAGAATTCATACAGGCGCAATGGATTATAAGATGCACTGTTGATTTTTGAGAAAATTAAAGGATTTTAAGTGCGCCTAATAGTGCGGAAAATACGGTATACAGAAGAAAAGAAGATATTGCTAAACATATTGTTACCGCACATGCTTCAAATTATACCGCAATATGGATTTTAGGTCAATTTGCCCAGCCCTAAGCCCCATCCACATGCACCTTCACTCTTTGGTTTAGTCTAGTTTTGAAAGATTATGCCAACTCTTATAACTAACTTTGTGTGAAACAAATGTTATTAAATGACCAACTTACCAGGTCCCAGATACAATAAAAAGAACAGAGGAGGCAAACAGATGTTCTGTGGTTATTTGTTTATTGCTTGACTTGAGGCAGTGCTTGGGGATCAGGAAAGGGCTCCGAAGCTTGACTGAATGTCAAAAATGGGAAAGCCTCCAAAGATAAATGTTCAGATACAGCTCTTGTTGATTCTTTGACTGTCCTGTCTCCTGTCCCAGAACTAGGACCTGGGATGGCACACTACTGGAAAGGCCTGATGTTTAATTGGTATTGGCTCGAAAGCTCTGACTTATCCAATAGCAATACATCTTTCAACATTTTTCAGTGTCAGTAAATTTATTTATCTTCAAACACTTCAAACATTTATCACCATAAAATGTTTGAATTGAACAAGGTGGACACTGGTAATAATGGAAGGTGTTTAGTGGCAAAGAGTTCTTCACTGTAAACTGATGAGGTTTACCTCGTGGTGTCTCCTCACCAGGGATGGCTCCACAGTGGGTACAGCCAGAAATGAAGAAGCTCTATGCTGCGTTTGTCTCCAACACGATAAAAATGCAATGCAAAGCAACAGGACACCCGGTTCCCGCAATACAATGGTACAAGAATGGGAAACTGTTCAAGAGGGATCACAGAATCGGAGGCTTTCAGGTGTGTTTCTGGCTGTAAAGTGGAAATTGTAGAGGCACAACCAGATTTTAAACTTTACTTTATTTTCTGTCTTTACCTGTGCTCAATCTTTCAGATCAGAGAACACATGGGGACTCTAATAATGACGTCATTGGTTCCCTCAGATAAAGGGAACTACACCTGTTTGGTGGAGAATAAATATGGGCGCCTCCAACACACCTACCAGCTGAATGTACTTGGTAAGAGAGATTATCTGGCACACAGGGTCGTAATGTTAGTTTAACATAAAATGACAGAAAGGTCTCGGTCCAAACCAGTCTTGTTATTTTTCTTCAGTGTCCTTCCATGAATGGGTAACAGTATTCATGTCACCCATGACATGAATACTGTTACCCATTCACACTGATTGTGAATGGTACTGTGACCGATAGAACCAGAACACTCAAAAGTTCATAATTAACATTTTGCTCACAAACTGTTTCACTGCTAAATGTAAAAAGCCATTCTGGTTCGTGGATGACTACAGTTAGAAAATCAATCCGCAGGTATGTCCTCCAGGTGTTACTGGTGACATGCTGTTCTCCTCTCTGTGGATATCTAACTCATTCGCAAAGATTACCCCTATCTTCATCTCCAACCCACCTGTTTCAGAGCGTCCTAGCAGGCCCATCCTGCAGAAAGGGCTGCCGGCCAACCAGACGGCAGCTGTTGGCAGCGACGTGGAGTTTGTGTGCCGCGTTTTCAGCGACATACAACCTCACATGCAGTGGCTCAAACACATCATCATCAACGGCAGCAGTGTGGGACCGGACGGGCTGCCCTATGTTCGTGTTCTTAAAGTACGTACCAACACCACCAAATTCAGCTTTAGACCAGCTTTATTTTGCTGTGTGACTCTTTACATCTATAATGAAGGAGGATAAATCTGATCTCCGTCAGAGCCCTTAGAATATGTTTCGTGAAATAAGCAGATCTTGGCTTAATTGGCTAAGTGATGAGGGTGAATTTGGTAGTACACACCTCTCCAATTAGAAGGAATACACTTTGTATCCCGGTGGTTTTCCCAGTGCTGGGAATGAGAGGTATATTGCGTGTGCATGTCATAATAAAGCTGCTGTGGCAGAATATACATCAGAAGTCCCCAAAATTTGCAATTTGTCTTGAAATCTTTGTTTTTCCTACATGAATAGATGATCCCAGTAGTCTTGGCTCGAGACAGGTGAAAAACCCCCCACAACACTTCTGTCCTGCAGTAATACCAACTGTCCACTATTAGCTGGCATGATGGAGTAACGAGTCAGTCATGTGACCAAAAACTATCAATCAGATGTGCAAATATCTGTGCAGTTATGAACAAAAAATAAATAAACAAACATAAAACCAAACAAATATGAAAATATATCATTATGAATATGAGCAGCTTAAAAACAGAAGAAAACCCTGAGATACATTTCAAAGAAATACACTTAAATTTGTTAAACATCATGACATAATACAAAGGCGCTTGGCACCCACTGCCTAGTTTTAGTCCACAGCATTCTTAAAACCGCCTGCTCCTGTAAGGAGCTGCATTGGGATCCCTTTCCCAGCACAAGAGTAATCCAGGAGGTTGGTCTAACAGAGGAGGTTGCTAAGATAGTGTGAGATGAAGGCACATAATCTGCTGCTCCCAAAGGAACAGATCAAGAAAAAAGAAGACTTTCACTCAGGTGTGTCAACCTCTCATAATTTCCAGCCTCTGAAAACTGTGTGAACAGAACTGGGTAAAGTTGGGGTTTTTTTTAAAAGACATTTGCAATAACAACATATGGGAACATCACTTTTTGAATCATTGTTCTAACAGCTTACTGCCATTCAGGAAGCAATGTCCTGCTGGGAAAGCTGTTGAATTATGGATGAAAGCTGAGTTAGCTGACTAGACCTCCGATTCATCAGTCCAGTCTCAGCAACAGGAAATCTAACTGAACTGGAAATAAAGCTGAACCAAATCTTTATGCTTTAATTTATGATTTTGTGTTTTTAAATCCTTATATTTTCTCAGATTTGTGACAGGTATAAAGTACCCCCACACACAGCGTGACACATTAACAGGTGTTTTATTTCCAGCTGTTTCTGACACGCTTACATGGCTTTAAAGCTGCCTCCTCCGGCTTTCAAACCACACAGCTCAGACAGGTGATGAAGAGCAGCTGTGTGGGTAAGCCTCCCCTGACACCACACTCTGAACCCACTTCTCCACCCCCCTGAAATCACTCTGATTTTTCAGAGTGATCTTAGTCTCCTGCACTAGACTGTTGAAGTGGTAAAATTAAAGTTTGCATCCATGAACTGAATTCACTGACTTCGTGAGAGATATAAGTTTGACTTTTGAGTTTCAGTTTGCTGATGGTGAGGAATTTAACTCAGCTCTGACCTTTGAGGGACACTGATGAAGGATGACACAGATTTTTGTGTGTTTCTCTCTCAGACTGCTGGTTTGAACACCACAGACAAAGAAATTGAGGTGTTGACTCTGAGGAACATAACCCTGGACGATGCTGGAGAGTACACCTGTCTGGCTGGAAACTCTGTTGGGTTTGCCTACAGATCTGCATGGCTCACTGTCTATGATGGTACATGAAGATCTGTACAGGATAGAATACAGAGATATGATGTCAGATCTCTCCTTCTCTGTTAATATTAATATATTGAATAAATATTTGTTCTATGATTCAATGAAAGTATTGAATGAGGGACACAAAATGTTTAGAAGTTGTCAGATGACAAGCAAAGAATCTAAACTGGTAGTTAACCAGTTAATGTTAGTTAATGTTTGGGTTTGCTCTGGCTTACATGGGTTTTTGGAGACCGGGGGCCTATTTCAGGAAGCCGGTTTAGTGCAAACTCTGAGTAAGTATACCCTGAGTTAACGAAAACTCTGGGTTTTCGGTTTCACAAAGCGAGTTTAGATTAATTCTGAGTGAGT